AAGTTCTTGGTTCAGGCTTGCAGCAAGGGGAGAGGGATAGCTCAGTGGTTTGCACATTGGTCTGTTAACCCCAAGGTTGTGAGTTCAATCCTTGAGGGGGCCATTTAGGGATCTGGGTAAAAAAAAAAAAAGTAGTTGGGGAGTGGTCCTGCTTTGAGCAGCGGGTTGGACTAGATGACCTCCTGAGGTCCCTTCCAACCCTGATATTCTATGATTTGCAGCAGCGATAGAATAAACTGCAGGTTCAAATCAAGTCTCTGGAATACATCCCCAGCTGGGATGGGTCCTCAGTCCTTTGTTCAAAGCTTCAGCTTGTAGCAAAGTTCCTCCAGAGGTATGAAGCAGGATTGAAGACAAGATGGAGATGAGGCATCAGCCTTATATAGTCTTTTCCAGGTGTAGGAACACCTCTTTGTTCTTACTGTGGAAAATTACAGCAAAATGGAGTCTGGAGTCACATGGGCAAGTTCCTGCATACTTTGCTGAGTCACAAGGCATATTTGCCTTCTTTCAATGGGTCCATTGTATAGCTGATGGTCCTTAATGGGCCATCAAGCAGGCTAGGCAGAGCTAACACCAGTTTGTCTGGGATGTCACTCAGCAGCATAGCATAAGTTTGAAATAGACAGTATAGAGCCAATATTTATAACTTCAACTACAAAATTGATACACACATATAGACAGCATAATCATAACCAGTAAATCATAACCTTGTCTTAGACACCCCATTTGACCCCCTTTATACAAGATTTGCGTGCCACTACAAGACCTTGGTTGCAACAATGATCTATATGGTCCCAGATTATATCAATAACGTCATATCTCAGCAAAGCCCAGCAGAGGAGAAGTCCCAGTCAGCCCTTCCTCCCTGCTGCAGCCCTGGTGCTGAGCTCAGGGGCCTTCCTGCCTCCAGCTAACCTGCTGGGAGGAGGGAGAGAGAAACTCCTCCAGAAGCTCCCTCTGCCTGGATGAAGTCCTCCCCCCCCCCTCCTTCCCTGATGTGATGCCCCTTCCACGGAGACTAGGTGAGGGATACTTGGGCCAGGCCCCACATTCACTCTGGATTCCTGCCCCTACACCCCATTTTCCAGCAATCTCTGGGCTGGGCTCCCCCAATTACCTAGAGCCTGATCCCTGCAGGGAGACTGTCCCTGGGGATGGCAACTCTTCCCCTCCCCAAATCCCCCGAGGTGCTGGGTTCCAGGGCATCAAATGTGAAGGGACCAGGAGGACTGGGTTTTGGGGAGGAAATTGGAGGATTGGTGGATGTGGGAAGCACAGGGTCCTGGGGAAATCATAAGGGATCACAGCGGACAATACAAGGAAGAGAGATGCTGCCTCTTATCACTTGCCTCTTTTCCCTGCCTCCTCTGCATTCAGAAAGCACCACTGAGAAGGACTGATTCCTACAGGGTCTTTTGTAGGAAGCCTAAAGGTCTTGGGATCCCATCTCTACTCTGGAGCATCAGCCTCCAAGGGCCTCTTGGGTGGGAAAAGTGGTTGGGATTCACTAGCAAATCTCCTCTGACCCTCCCCTGTTTTTCCTAGTCTAGACTGACCCCAACCATCTTCTATATTCTGATCCACTCAATAGCAGGGGCCTTTGTGGGAGGCCTAAAGGACTAGGGATCTTGTTACCCCAAAATTTGAACCCAAGGCACCCTAATAATGGCCTCTCCATAACCGCAAACCGTTGTCAATTTGGTGCATCTCAATGGGTAACAGGAGGCAGCCCGGCCTAGAGGAATTGCCTACCTTTTATCCAGGAGTTAGTCTCTAACCGTCAGAGGATTCCTCAGAACAGATTAGTTCTGTGAACTCCTGGGAAGATATGGATACAGCCCTTCCCAAGGATTGACGCTCAAACAGTAATACTTTGAAAACAAATAACATTTATTTAAACAAATCAATTAAGTACACGCATTAAGGGAAAATACAATGCAACACAAGCTACACTACATGACCCATGTAGCAGATACAATGTTGCACAATACAATAGACCTCTTATACATATTTATAAAGCCTTTATAAAATGTTGCAATATTTTACCAAACCTATTGCAATGTAACATACAGATCTCTTACACACACATATAAAACAGCATTGAAATATTACACATTACATGACATTATTAAGTAATAACATACAGGCGAGTCTCATCTTACGCTGGGGTTACGTTTCGCTGTCAGCGCGTAAAGCGAAAATCTCGTATAGTCAAAATTACATTGAGTGTAATGGCGGGTGGAATCGCCCGCACTACAGGTACAGTATTTAAATTGTTATTTTTTTTGTTTGTTTTTGCTGACTGCGCAAAGCTGAATTTGCGCATGTTAAATGCGTGTAAGATGAGATTCGCCTGTACTATGAATGGTGATCAGTCATAGACTGGGTGGGGTAAAATCCATTCGGATGCAGGCATTCAGCTTTGTTAACAATTATTTCCTTATAATCAAGAGAGTTATTCCTTACTTAATCAATTCCGTACTTTCCTTCTGACTCATCTCGGTGATTTCAGCTCTAGAAGGATTCTTTCTTGCTTCTATCTGCTCCGCTCTCTTGATCTTCTCTTCTCTGCTCTCTTATCTCTTCTGCTCACTACACACCCGCACTGAAGCCTGTCTGCTCTGTACCTTATATAGGATTTTTTGACCCTTTTCTGATTCATTGCTCTCTCAATACCAGTTATTACCATAGTGCCCACCTGGTGGGGTGATACCTGTTCAGCCAATCAGCTTTACCTGTCATTTGTGCTGGACCCAGGCAGGAACCTCCTTCTTACCTGACTGACCTCTGGGAGTGAATTTAATCTCACCCTGCTGAACTTTACTTCACCCCAGTTGCCTGCATGCTATTGGTCAACTCTACCTAAGTTCTCCAATTTGATTTTCTTATGTTAAATTATTGCGGCCGCCATTTTGGATTTCTAGCTCACGTTACCTTAAACTATCCCTGTGTAATACTTGTAAAAAGCCTTAAAACTACAACTAACTATATTTTTATGTGTCTAAATATTATGATACCATCACCACTTTTGTTATGCTAATTGGAGCAGGGGGCAGGTAGTGGGAGGGGGCAGATGGGGGTGGGGGCCAGGCTGTTTGGGGAGGCACAG